CAATTGTAGATAGAAAGAATAATGCTGAGTTTTCTTTAAAGCTTTCAGATCTTAAAGCTGATTTTACACAAACCCTGTGTTATCATAACCCAGCTTTAAACAACCTAGTGCAGAATACTAATTTCTGAGATTAAAATGTTAAAAAAAGCTTCAAGGAAAAAAAATTCAGACTGCTTTCGTCTTACCTGGTGGAGTCCTATTTTCCAAAGCTTTAACTCTCGCCAAAAGCTCTTCAATCACGGATCAGGCTACCAAAGGACGGGAAAAACTTTAAAAAACGTTCAAGAATTAATATACGAAACTTTCTTCCTCAACTTTACCCAAACAGCTCAAAAGTGCAAAGAGAACATTACCTGGCCGCCCATGGATACAATTTTTTATCTACGAGTGTTCATAATATCTTTCACGAGTGAGCTTCTCTCACGGGTGAGGGAAGACGTAAAGATAGATTCGAATCTAAAAGGAAGACACATACTGTTCTGTTTATTATAAAAATATAATTTTCATTAAAATCAAAGACAAATTTAAAGCACATATTAAGAGCAAATGACGCAGATAATGTATGCATGTAAACCACATCGGCTATGAAGCTACTTCAACCTCTGACATAAAAATGAAATTTATAGGCTCTTATCCCAGGAATGTTGCCTCTCGTAGAAAAACTTGAACTAAACCCTGGCATTGTTCGTGAATTAAAAAAAACCCTGCGTGAAAACTAGACAGTTATTTAAATAAACTAGGTTTCCACGCAGGACGACATTTTTTATCTTTACTTATGGACGTAAATACATAAAAGTATGCTCACTGAAAGTACGTTGGCGGATGTTATCTTTTGGAAAAAGGAGATATTTTTGTATCTCATCAATATCTACATGATAAAGTACTCTGTGATAGATATTTCATCACCATCACATTGAATATGATAGATCAAGATTTGTTAGTATTATAAACATTCCACAACTTTCTACAAGTTTTAAATGTTACGTTGGCACTCTTCCAATGCTTTCACCCTGGCTTACAGCTGTTTCAGTTTCTTTCCTCCACCCACGACAGGTTTGCTTCCTTGTATTAAAATGAACACAAGCAGCGAGGCAAAAAAAGTGGATCTCATTTTGGACTGGACTTTAATCTGTGGAGTAGATACAATAAGTCTCAAGAACATTTTTATTCCCATGTCAGCCTCTCTTCCGATTTATTTTCTTTCACATCCTTTCTCGTTAAGGAAAAAAAAGAGAAAAAAAAAAGCGACGAAAACCTTTATGGATACGTAATGATACATTTGGTATTTGCTCCAAAAAAGGTCTCTCATCGTCGACCAAAGTTCTGAATTGATAAGGCTCGTACCTCATATACTAAAATAATTTAATTTTTTGCTCGCTTAATTTTCCTTTAGGAGCATTGTTCATTATAACTCGAATATGAATTCGCAGAGTATAAACAAGGTTAAGGAGCGATGCTTACGGAAGCAGCGGAAACAATGTGAATCTGCAACTTGCCAGTCAATATGAGATCTTCTCCAAGTAAACACAAAGTTGTGATAATATACACTGGTCACCGTAAAGAGTTTCAAAGCTGACGTTTCGAGCGTTAGCCTTTTCCTTGAGCTTTCTTAAGATCGCAACTCATTACTATAATTCATTAAAAAGAAACGAACGAAACCGATCATGAACAACTACAAAAATGGAGGCAGATTGTGACGAACGAGAGAAACGAGAAAAGTAATTGAAGGATCACAAGCGGAGCTTGTGTTGGATGTATAATTTGGATTCGGGCGAACTATGCATCTAGTACTAATTACTTCGACACGGTAGACAATTTTGCGCATTTTCAGTTTTTGATAATTTGCCGCCATGACGGCACATCGTTAGCATCCAGCAGAATTTGCGGTCATGATCATTCCAAACCGCAATAAAATATGCCTCCAAATAACGCGACGCCGTAGACCACTTGCACCATTTATGATATCTGAAAACTTTTTCTTTTTTCAGCGCACATAGATTGATCTCTTCAGTATATTTCTTTGGGTCAAGGAAGCTGTAAGAAGCATGTTGCCTAAAAACTGGAGATGCGAACTTACCTGGGATGTTGTAAAGAACACAGCGTCTACCAACAGGACAAGAAAGATTGTTTGCCCAAACGAATTCGACTATATATATGGTTAGCTGTTCAGGTCATGATCAATTAAAGCAGCCAATTACATTGAAGTGTCTTCATGTAATGATAGACGTCTTTATTTTAATGATCATCACAACCTAGACGACAACGTTACCTTCAAAAGAACACGATGCAAGTGGGGGTTGTTTTGGGTGGAAAATAGTCAACTCGAACGTGGGGTATAATTACACAATTTTACCTTTTATTTTGATGTTTTTTTATTTTCTTCATTTTCCTTACCTTCTTAACAGATAAAATATCCTTTTTCTCTTGCGGTCCTTCAAGCTTGGAGGGTAAACAAACAATGTATAGTCATTTAAGCAGAGATGGGGGCTTCTCAATCCATTTAAACATCGTAAAATTAAAAAATTTAAAAAACGGAAAACGGGCAGCCCTAGATAGATGATAGATGTTCTTACTTTAATGATCATCACAACCCAGACAACGGCGTGACCTTAGAGTCATTTAAGCAGAGAGGGGGGCTGTTCAATCCATTTCAACATCGTAAATTTAAAAAATTTAAAAAAAAAAGACTCAAGATACTTGAGAACCGTGTGCCACACGTTGAAATATTGTTCGAGCGCACTAAATCTTAAAACGTAAAATATAATAGCATAATGTTTCATCTGCACCTGGTAAGCTTTTGATTGATTTTCCGATTGAGAGCGGTCCTGAGCAGGGCTGCTGTAGTCAAAAGTGACTGATGTTTTGACAACTAAAGCGGAAGTCATCATGATGACTTTCGATGATGTAATTTGATGTGATGTCATTTGTTTTGAGGGAAAATATTAAATACTGACGATTAATTGCTATTTTACCTCGTGAAGCACGTTTAAACCCTTTCTCCGGCTTATTCATGCACCATTCTTTTCATATCTACGTACATATATACTTTATTGAGACTCCCTTCCATATGTATATCATAGGTAAGATATTGATCACTGTATACCCCGAGATCCTTAGCAAACGAGACTGGTGAGATCGTTTTGCCTAACAGGGATGAGGAGGATATCTCAATCTTCTCTTTCTCATATTTCTTCTTTTACGATCTAATGGGGGTGGTGGGAAAACAACACCGTCTTTTTTAGAAGTAGGGACACACAGGCGCTAGGTCCAGAAACAATTTTTGTTAATCCCTTTTCATGGTCGCAATTTTTTTTTAAAAAAAGCTGCCGGAGATCGTCATCGCTGAGAACACCTTCGGTTCTCGAGATGTTACTCGCAGTGATAGATCTGAGCCTAGTTGTTCAAAGAGTGAATAACGCTGTATAACGGATAAATTACTATCCAGTGAATAAATGTTAGAAAAACGTATTGCGCTATCCACCAGGTAGCGATTTATCCGGTGGATAGCGTTCTCTAACCCTTGAACAACTGTCATTAGCTCTGACTTAGGGCTAACGCTCGAAACGTCAGCTTTGAAACTCTTTACGGTGGCCAGTGTATATTATCAACTCAGTTGATAATACTAAAAAAAAAAAAAAAAAAGAACCATCGCCTTGCGCCGGACATTGTCTTCTAAGTATGCCTTTTTTCCCTTTATCTCTGCCTGGCATAATTTCGTTTGCCTTAATTTGTTTGGATAGGAGGGAGGCCCAGAGGTCTCCCAAAAGTGGTCGCATATCATTAAACACTTCTCTTCAGGTTCAAAAGTAATTGCGGATTTCCGGATGGAGCTCAGATTACATTGACTTCCTTACAGGAAATTGAAAGTTGTCCTTTTTTTGTTATGCAAGTTACTCAACAAAGGAAATCCACAAGAATCAGGGGAAAATTGTCAAACTGAGATTTTCAACTATTTTGAAACGTCCTTTTATCGAAAGATTGGCAAGTAACTTCATAGACAACAAAAAATGACCATACGGAAAATTTATGCCCCCCCCCCTCCCCTCTTTAGAATCCTGGCTAGCCCAGGAACAGGAAAATTTCAGTAAGAGATATATGAGAGGGTTCAATCTACCCTTTACTTTCTTGAAAGAATCCAACCAAGTGTAAGTTTTCTCGAGAGTAACGACATGTTACATTTATTCACATCGGACGTAACTTGCTTGCATGCCCTTGAGTATTTCAAAACAATGGGGGGGGGGGTTAGTTCCTCAAGAAAATGTGGTGCTTTATTTGAATCGATTCAAGATTTGAATTTAGATATAAAATACGTTGGAATTAAATATAAATTGATTTTTCTCTTTGTCAAAAACCCTTCAGATCAAGTGACAGATCCTCTGTAGTTTGAGAAAACATATTACTTGTTATCGAACGCTGTTTCTGATTTAAAGTTTGAACTCCAATTTTTTTCGCTATGTTTTGTACTGCCATATATTTAGCATACTTAGAATGAATCTTGAATGGTCTTACTCATTTTGTCGCCTGTAAGACCACCTTTACGCGTTAGGAGAATATGAATATTCCAATGAACAAAAAAAAAGGAAGGGTTAAAAACAGGGTCTATGTCTTGAAATCATGCAATAAACGCGTTGTCCTGAATTAAGACTTGAAAATTGGTTGCTATTTCTCTGTTAAAAAGACATGTAAGGATCAAAGCTTATCGTGTGCGGATCATCTGCCTCCAAAACCATAAACATCTGAGCTAATTTAACTTTGAAATGTGTAAATACGTGTTGTCCTCTACGACGTTTAACGATTGCTCTTGATTTTTTCCTCAGGAATTATAAAGTGACCCGCAGATGTGATTGTTGAGGTTTGTTTCTCTAGTTTATTATAAAGGTGGTTTACTAATAAACGTGAGTTGGTGCGTTTTCGACAAATTACAACATTTGCAAGATACAACGATAATTCTGAGGGGCCTTGTGCACCAGATCCATAGAGACTAAGTTCACTGGCAAACAAGATTTGGTGACACAGCGCAATAACTGAATAAAATTTTGATGCGGTTCAAGGTTCTTCATCATGTTTAGTTCAGCGAGGAGATCCTGTCTTTTCTCGTCGGTGGCATTTTCTACCATAGATCAATATAAACAACGGGTTTTTATGAATGGTTCGGGTACTAGAAAAAAACTCTGATGTTTTGAATACGTTATCGTCGAAATGTAAAATCAAACGAACAAGAAAAGAAAAAACAGCAATTCACGTCCCCAAATTTCTTCCTCCATTCTTAATCAAATTTACCGTGAATTAGCTCGATGGAAGAATTTCTAAGTCTACACACTCATGCTATCTGACAAACCTAAACAAACCTTTTAACATTTTGATAGCCACAAGCACGTTTTCCTTGTTGTCATTTATTCTCTTTGCCATTCCTCGAGCCACTTTACCAAAAGTTCCCCTGCCAATCACCTTCACAAACACGAGATTCTCTCTAGGTAATTCCCAGTCCTTTTCGGTCGGGTAGGGAAGTATAGGAGGAATCACTGAGTATTCTTAGCGGATCACCTCGTCAGAGGAACTAATTGGATCAGAAGTTGCGTCCTGAGTCTGCGTCTACGTTTGGGTACTTGTAATTTTGAGAGAGTGGGTTTTGTACAGAGAAAGTACAACACACCAAGACTTAGCCTTGTCATCGTTCATAGCTTGAGAGGAGCTGTGGGGGGGAGGGAGGGTGAGGACGGAGGATTTTGGCTCGTTGTTATAAAACTTAGCCACTGCCTCAATAAGGCCCTTTCGTATGCCAATGATTCCCCTTGATTGGCAGTCAATGAAACATAGTCCTACTACCGGCAAAAAACTCTATAAGAGATAACTGTCCCCCCCCCCCATCCCCCCCGTTCCCCTTGAAAACCAAGGCCCTTCGACACCATCTATTTTCGTGGCGAGAAAAACCAAAGTCTTGCCATTAATTCAAATACAAGTATAATTTGCAATGAAAATTGTTTAGAGGAACGTGCTTGATATCATCCTGTGAATTTTCCTAGGGGACATCCTCCCGAAAAAAAAGATAAATCTTATCCTATTCTTACCATTTCAATCATATTCGTATCCAGTCTATCTCTTTCATTTTTTGCTAGAAGAGAAGAAAAGAGATAACAACATACTTGTCATCGTATTCTTGCTAACATCATAGTCTATCAAGTCAATCAGAGTGGTTGAAACGGAACAGAACTGTGACTAAAATAGGATTGTAAAGACTGAATTAGAGTGACTAAAGGCGTGCTGAATATCAGGAGAAGTATACAAGCCCATCATGTTATGAATGACAGTTTAAGACAGAGGTCATCAAATTAAAATTGTCGGCAAACTTGCGAATGGAAGATGGGACACTACCGGTGAGAAAGCCGACACAGGCGTAATACTTACTTCCTATTGGTAAGAGCCATTGTTGAGAAACAACAATAAGATTAAGATTGTCAGTTCATTTAAATCATTAACCTTTTCCTTGTAAGTCATCATTTGTCAGTCTTAAGATATATGTTGCATTGCATATATATCGAATAGGGTGGGGACAGAATCAAACCCCCATGAGAGAAATGGGAAACAGTTTTATCAACAATCTTAAGCCCCCCAACACCCTTTTCGTCCAAATCCAAAATCCAAACCACTGACCTACTTTAGCCAGACGGTTTTAATGGTCTTTACGAGGGAAGGTGTACGAGCTCACCTCTTTTTTTACGCGTGAGGAAAAAGTAGACAACAACTATTATAATTAGGATTAGGACCACGGCAACAAAGGCCAGATATACTGGATGCGTATTAATCGTGTTGTCATCAGCAGTACCATCAGCTGTGGGGGATATGTCTGTAATGGGTCTCGCTTAAGAGATGAACAGACCGACATAGCATGGATTAGTTGTGATCGATATACCTAGGAGATGACGTTGATGTTGAGAGAGCACATGCATGTTACAATTTCTACCAGCGCTCTATCATATGAGGAGAACAACATTGTTAAAGGGAAAAAAATCATAATCTAACTATATTAGTTTTTCCTTCTTTTAAATGTTTCTTAGCCTTCAGTTAATCATGCATAAGCCACAATTGGCCAAGTCGGAAGTTAGAAAACTTCAACGAAGAACTTTGTTCCGAATGATAAATCAAGTTTGAGCAAAGTGCTATTTTCCATAGAGGGAGATGAATTGAGAGAAAAAACGACCTCATTCATAAACGAGCGAAATTACTCAGTGGACCAAAATCTGTAAATGCACGCTTTATTAGCGTGTCATGTGGATACCATGCACATGAGTATAGACGACAATACGATACCAATAACACTATTTACGCTCAACAGATGCAGATGTAGACTACTTGAAGTATTTTGTAACAGTGCCTCGACGAAAAGCGAGGACCGTGGGATGATGCAACACCCTGAGTAATTAATCTGCCTCGTTCAGCCCGGTTTCTTATCGGCATGAACTTAGCTTAGGTTAATGAGAAAAACAGTCGTCTACCTGATACTTCAAGTATTGTGGAATTTGAAATTGTTGCGTCTCCAAACGTCAACTTACTACCATATCGCCCGGTGTCATCCACTTTAACGTCAATAAAAGAAAGAGAGGCTTTGCTCGTCACATACACGCGGCCTTTGTAATTCGATGATAAATAAATGATGGTTTCCAAGGTACCCCCCGAGGTCATAGTCTCCCACTGAGCAAGACCCAGTGTGTGAAAGCCAGAATGATAGTCCCAATTTAGTGTAATGTTATCGCCATCTTGAGCTTGAATCGGACTGACTGGGGTCAGTACAAAAACTTGCGCTTCTAAAGAATAGAGAATCAATCCATGAGACATTCCTTTGTATTCTTGTAATGCACAACCTAACATAATATCAATGTGAATATCACATTCATGTGAGGCATGAATGAATTACTTAACCCATAATCTACCTACAAATCTCTTCTCTCCCTAGATTGTAAGGGGCTACAAATTGGGCATTAAGATAAAGGCAACATTTTCTCCTCTGTTCTGACTATTTATCGTAAGGTTTACATCATAATTGAGCGACATCTTTTGTGTCTGTAAAGGTCATGTTGTCTATGTCGTGTTTAAATTATCTTTGGTGCAAAATGTTTAAACCAGTTTGGTTTTTAATTTTCCTTTGTATTCTTTAGCATACTTTGAAACAAAGGACATTACAAATCAAACTGGTTGGAAAAATTTCAACCCACAACAAATTAAAACTACAACGTAAGAATTTACTCATGTTAGGTATTAATTCCCAGTCAACAAGTAAATTTACAAGACTTCAAAGTCATTGTTGTTATCTGCCAGACAATTTCAATTGAAAAGCTTGGCACAAGCAAACTTAATAAATTTTTCAAAGTAATAAGAAGCAGTTTCTGCCCTTGCTCGCCCCAGAAACCAGGGTCTTATGTAGTCATGCACTCGCTTCACCAGCTCTGCTTTTGTCTTCAACCTTATTCCCACGTCTCCACGATATTTATGCCAAAATTTAAGCTCTGAGATTTTTAACTAGTCAGGTTTTCTTCCAAGAAGAGAAGCGCCAGGTATATCGTTTTCCGTAAGAATTGTCGGATTTGAAATGTTCGAAATACTCACCACTGCAAACGAAGAGGGACGCAACGCAATAGTATGGCCTTTCTAACCTCGTTTTCATGCAAGTCGATCCAGGACGCTCGCGCTGACCGCCATAATGAAAGTCGTGTATAACGTGGCCAAGTATTTTGTTTTGTTTATGACGTGAGTCACAAAGTGAAACTCGTCACGGCTGGCCGGAGAGCGGATATGAATATTCAAATTGAGTTTAACAAGTGATATAAACGTCGTTCGAAGATAAAGCATGTTGAGCTCATGGTCATCCCGAACGCGAAAGGCAAATATAAATATTTGCAATAAAAAATACAGATGAATAAGCGAACCGAGGAAGTTTTATGAGTTGGTCTGAGGATGTGGAGAGACAAATACGGTGAAATTAGATTAATTACCCATCATTGGCAGCAAGTTCATATTAGACCTGGATTGTTCTATCACAATTCCATAGAATTTGCAAAACATGACCCGAGGAGGTGGTTTTTCGGTAAGCAGATGACGCACAGGTTTATTGAAGAGAGGAAAAAAATGTTTGAAGTTATTTTTATGTATTTACACTGCCGGTGTAGAACTCCGAAGTGCAAGTAGTGGCAAATTACCACACCTCATGTCCGCTCTGTGAAAAGTTCTCACTTTTTTCAAAAGTGCTCGTTTGAAGAATTTACTTATGCTATTCATAATTTATTGTTATCGTTTGCCTTTGTTGTTATTGTTTGGTATTCACTTTCATCAAGGAAAGACACGGAAAAATTAATTCAACATTTTCAAAATTGTAGTGAGGCGGAAAATTATGGTGTTATCAAATTCATTTCTTAGAGCGCAGTTTACATATACGATTTTCGTATATTTACAGTCATTGATTCATTACTTAACTGGTTTGTTACGAGCCAACATAATGACCAGCTCCCAGAGTTGGCTTGTCAGCTCAGTTAGCAGAGCACTGCACCGGTATCGCAGACGTCACGGGTTCAAACCCGTACGCTTTCAAACTCATTTCTTAAGCTGCAGTTCACATATATGATTTTCATATATTTACAGCCAATTTTATTCATTTTCCATTTTGACCCATAATGAAAAGACGGGCTTCTGTAAAGAGTCTCTGGATTGTTTCTTGATTTGATTTTCTGACTTCAGCAGTGCATGGTTATTTTGATTCAGTTCTTAATGTTTGGAAAATTCTCTCAAATTTGGATTAGTTGCATTCTTCATGAGACAGTGGGTAGTTCATCCCGTATAAACCATGGAAAGAAACAGACAATAGTTTCCTGAAGTGCATTTATTAGGCCTCAACTAATGGCTTTCCATGACAATTAGTATCAAGCACGAAGTTTCTCCTTTTTAAGCTAGTTATGAGCAGTTTAATAGATTCCCGATCACCCCTTTATTCCCTTTTGCTTGAAGCCACAGACTCTGGTGTCACAACGGAACTCTCTTACTTTCTTAGTTGGTACCGCAGTAGCGCAAATGGCACTGCCACTCCCGGGGCGTTCCATCGATGTAGTAAATGTAGAAATCGCCACAATTCATCACCTGGATATCGATCGACCAGGTACAGCAATTACTCCACGAGAAACAGACCTTCCTGGTGACTTTACCCTCTTCCACTGAAGGATGGTCGCCGTTCAACCACCCAGTAGCGTGGGTACCGCACCTGGATGTTTTCGGGCAAGATGAAACCATTTTAACCCCGGCCGCTCCTTGGAAGCGATACCAGTTCGGCTTAAGATGATTATCGCATAAGAGTGGATTTGCGCCATGGTTAACATTCCTGCTTGCATCGGCCAGAACTTGGTAGTTCTGACATTCTACAGTACAAGACAGAAACAAGCTTCCAATTAGTACAACAAAGCTATACATACTCTGCATTATTTCATGAACAATTTCAGACTTGTCCTGTATGTTAAATGGGCATCAACGATGTACAAGTGCTATTGATGTTGTTAAGCGACCATTTTTTAGAAGAGACTCGACCCTATCATTTCTTTTCTTACGCTTCACTAGGAAAAATGTTCACCGAAACAGTTTACAGAGAAGAAAGCAAGCCGGCACAATATAATCGTTTCTTATTTGAGGTCCTGAATACATTTACAACTGTAACTAACAATAGCTAGCTTTTTCTCTTTTCATCAATTGTGTTTCCTTCTTTGTGTTGTTAGCTCATAGAAATTGGAACTAAATCATGTCAGCTGTTTATACGCCCAGTTGTTCGAAGGCTGATTAGACATTAAAATGTTAAAAAAAGCTTCAAGGAAATAAAATTCAGACTTCTTTCGTCTTACCTGATGGCATTGGAGCTTTTGTCGGGGCAGGTGGAGCTGGAGTACTATTTTCCAAAGCTTTAACTCTCACCAACAGCTCTTCAATCACGGAGCAGGCTATCAAAGGACGGGAAAAACTTTTAAAATCGTTTAAGAGTTAATATATGAAACTTTCTTCCTCAACTTTACCCAAACAGCTCAAAAGTGCAAAGAGAACATTACATGGCCGCCCATGGATACAATTTTTTATCTACTAATTTTGATACTATATTTTACGAGTGAGCTTCTCTCACGGGTGACACGTAAAGATAGATTCGAATCTAAAAGGAAGACATGTACTGTTCTGTTTATTATAAAAATATAATTTTCATTAAAGTCAAAGACAAATTTCAAGCACATATCAAGAGCAAATGACGCAGATAATTTATGCATGTAAACCACACCGGCTATGAAGCTACTTCAACCTCTGACATAAAAATGAAATTTATAGTTTCTTATCCCAGGAATGTTGCCTTTCGTAGAAAAAGTTGAACTAAACCCTGGCACTGTTCGTGAATTTAAAAAAACCCTTCCTGAAATCAAGACAGTTATTTATATATATTAGGTTTCCATGCAGGACGACATTTTTATCTTTACTTATGGACGTGAATACATAAAAGTACGTTCACTGAAAGTACGTTGACGGATGTTATCTTTTGGAAAAAGGAGATATTTTTGTATCTCATCAATATCTACATGATAAAGTACTCGGGGATAGATATTTCATCACCATCACATTGAATATGATAGATCAAGATTTGTTAGTATTATAAACATTCCACAACTTTCTACAAGTTTTAAATGTTACGTTGGCACTCTTCCAATGCTTTCACCCTGGCTTGCAGCTGTTTCATTTTCTTTCCTCCACCCACGACAGGTTTGCTTCCTTGTATTAAAATGAACACAAGCAGCGAGGCAACAAAAGTGGATCTCATTCTGGACTGGACTTTAATCTGTGGAGTAGATACAATGAGTCGTAAGAACATTTTTATTCCCATGTCAGCCTCTATACCGATTTATTTTCTTTCACATCCTTTCTCGTTGAGGAAAAAAAAAAGAAAAAAAAAGCGACGAAAACATTTATGGATGCGTAATGACACATTTGGTATTCGCTCCAAAAAAGTTCTCTCATCGTCGACCAAAGTTCTGAATTGATAAGGTTCGCACCTCATTTACTAAAATCATTTAATTTTTTGCTTGCTTAATTTTCCTTTAGGAGCATTGTTCATTACAACTCGAATATGAATTCGCAGAGTATAAACAAGGTAAAGAAGCGATGCTTACGGAAGCAGCGGAAACAATGTGAATCTGCAACTTGCCAGTAAATATGGGTTCGTCTCTAAGTAAACAAAAATTTATGACTTTTCCTCGAGCTTTCTTTAGATCGCAACTCATTACTATAATTCATTAAAAAGAAACGAACGAAACCGATTATTAATTTCTTCAAAAATGGAGGCAGATCGTGACGAACGTGAGAAGCGAGAAAATTAATTTTCGGGTCACAAGCGGAGCTTGTGTTGGATGTATAATTTGGATTCGGGCGAACTACGCATCCAGTACCAAGTATTTCGACACGGTAGACAATTTTGCACATTTTCAGTTTTTGATTATTTGCCGCCATAACGGCACATCGTTAGCATCCAGCACAGTTTGCGCTCATGATCATTCCAAACCGCAATAAAATATGCCTCCAAATAACGCGACGCCGCAGACCACCTGCACCATTTATGATATCTGAAAACTTTTTCTTTTTTCAGCGCACATAGATTGATCTCTTCAGTATATTTCTTTAGGTCAAGGAAGCTGTAAGAAGCATGTTGCCTAAAAACTGGAGATGCGAACTTACCTGGGATGTTGTAAAGAACACAGCGTCTATCAACGGGATAAGAAAGATTGTGTGCCCAAACGAATTCGACTACATATATGGTTAGCTGTTCAGGTCATGATCAATTTAAGTAGCCAATTACACTGAAGTGTCTACATGTGATGATAGACGTCTTTATTTTAATGATCATCACAACCTAGACGACAACGTTACCTTCAAAAGAACTCGATGCAAGTGGGTGTTGTTTTGGGCGGAAAATAGTCAACACCAACGTGGGGTATAATTACAAAATTTTACCTTTAATTTTGATGTTTCACTTGCTTCATTTTCCTTACCTTCTTAACAAATAAAATATCCTTTTTTTCTTACGGCCCTTCAAGCTTGGAGGGAAAACAAACACTATATAGTCATTTAAGCAGAGAGGGGGGCTGCTCAATCCATTTAAACATCGTAAAATTAAAAATGAAAAAAAAGGAAAACGGCCGGCCCTAGAGAGATGATAGATGTTCTTACTTTAATAATCATCACAACCTAGACAACGGCGTTACCTTCAAAAGAACTCGATGCAAGTCGGGTTGTTTTGGGTGGGAAATAGTCATTACCAACATGGGGTATATTTACACAATTTTACCTCTTTTTGTTGTTTCATTTGCTTCATCTTCCTTACCTTCCTAACACATAAAATATCCTTTTCCTCTTACGGTACTTCAAGCTTGGAGGGAAAACAAACACTTTAGAGTCATTCAAGTAGAGAAGGGGGCTGTTCAATCCATTTAAAGTTCGTCAAATTAAGAAATAAAAAAATAAACAGCTCAAAATGCTTGAGAACCGTTGTGCCGCACGTTGAAATATTGTTTGAGCAACCTTAATCTCAAAATGTAAAATATAAGATCATAATGTTTCATCTGCACTTGGTAAGCTTGGAAGGAGAAATTTCTTGGTTTTTTTAAAGTTTTTGTTTTACTCTTGCATGTTGGTGCAAGAGTCATGCTGTGAGGCAGAATGCACCCTGAAGATTTTTCTCTCCTTTTCTGAAAAATATTCGAGTGATAAAAATTATTTTGCGAGAAATTTTGACACTGTTCCAAGAGTACATAGTTGAAATTTATTACGTTATGGTGATGTTAATTTTTATGTTACGTGTGTCTGTGCGTGATGATAGACGTCTTTATTTTAATGATCATCACAACCAAGACGACGGCGTTACCTTCAAAAGAACTCGATGCAAGTGGGGTTTGGTTTGGCTGGAAAATAGTCAACACCAACGTGGGGTATATTTACACAATTTTACCTTTTATTCTGATGTTTCCTTTGCTTCATTTTCCTTACCTTCTTAACAAATAAAATATCCTTTTTTCTTGCGGTCCTTCGAGCTTGAAACACTTAATAGTTATTTAAGCAGATAGGGGGCTGTTCAATCCATTTAAACATCGTAAAACTAAAAAATTAAAAAAAAACGGCTCAAGATACTTTAGAACCGTGTGCCACACGTTGAAATATTGTTCGAGCAGACTAAATCTCAAAACGTAAAACATAAGAGCATAATGTTTCATCTGCACCTGGTAAGCTTTTGATTGATTTTTCGAGTGAGAGTGGTCCTGAACAGGGCTGCTGTAGTTAAAAGTGACTAGTGTTTTGACAGCTAAAGCGCAAGTCATCATGATGACTTTCGATAAAAAACCAAAGGCTGTTGGGACGTCAATTACTGTTACCGTCAACAGCACTAAAATGGACTGCTCTCAAGCAGACGATCAAACTACTCCGTCCAATGTTACTCCAAGCTTCTAAAATTTTCATTTTCTTTTCGCTCGGCTCGACCCTGCTGGAATGACAAATTTAAGAGAGTGTCTCTGTAAGAGCGGTCCGGTCGATTTTGCTTGAGACACGGATTTCGCTTGTTTCTTGTGCGTTGTAAGACATTCATGTACCTATACTAAAACCACAATCAGTTTGATCGGATCTCTTTATTTTTCAGAGTTTTACGGAAATTAAATTTCACTCGAGCGAAGGCTTGTCGTGACACTTTTCAAGACTTTAATTTCATACAACTTTGGAGGACAATTTACAAAAAAAACTACGAAACTCAGCAAAAAACAAATACCACAGCCATGTGTATTAACTCTATCTTATCTATCAAGGCGACTTTCGTAAACATCACGTGTCAATCAAGGAAACAGGGAGACTTGAATGACACCTTATCGGTTCGCCTAAATCAAACACGCCAAAACCGATCAAATTCATGGTGAAGTTTTGAAAAAGTGAGGCGTTCTTAACTGATCCAACTAACATAGCTAGCAAGTAGGTGCCATAGAAAAGATAGCCACAGAAAAAAACTTTGCGGCCCGACCTTTACGAGAACTTTATAACTCCGTGAACTTACCTAATTTTCGGCAATCTCCAAGTTTGGCCGCCATTTTGAGGGACTTGTCAACATGAAGCGTAACCGATATAAATCAAGCAGGTAAATCTAAAACCGTCAGAAATAAATACGAAAGCAATTCAAATGAACTCTACTTTCAATTCAAGAGGCAAAATTTGAAATTGTTCGTTAAACTTACCATCCCCATGCGAGTTGGAGTTATTATTCCAGTTGAATCAGATAGTCTTCAGTAACATTTTCTGTTATCTATTTTTGTCATGTGACATATCTGCCCGAAAAGAGAAGAAATTCTTTATCAGATGAAGGGTACTTAAGTACACATCACGTTGAAAAAAATAGATCTATGTGTAAGTGCTTTTTATTACAGATGGAAATATGTACAATGTTGCTGGGTTGATAATCAATAATGTTTTTGTAGAAGATCAAATCACCTGACAACGCAATATACTTACTCATGCGTACGGTTCACAATTATTTGCGGTCAGTTTTCCTCAGTTTGTATGATTCTCATTAACCAATATGATTAAATTTGCAGACTAAAACACCCCTTATTTAATTAAGAATAATAAAAGTAAACAGTGCATGTCGGTTTTTAATTCCTGATGGATGCTACTGGGCTTTACTTTAACTGAGAAATTTGCAATCGCTTACCTCAGCTCTCTGTGTCCCATGCCGTAAGAAGCACAAGAAAAAAGTTGATGATAGTGAGTCTTAGCTGAGACAAGAAGAATCAGAGAAGAATCTATGGTCCCCAGAAACGCCACTTTTAAACACGAGACAACTAAGGTAAATTGAATTAATTGTTATTTGTTTTATTTAAAACTATCGTTAAGATTATAAGATACGCGAAAAACTCTCCCCACCGATTTTTTCTTACATTCTGTTAATCAAAAGTTTCAATAATTATAAAGGCTTTCTTGTTGATCGTCTTAATAGTAACAGTTTCCAGATCCAAGGGGAGCAAAAGAGTCAACAATTTTCTGTGTAGCTAGGTATGGCGACATGCCGGCTTTATACTTCTTCCGGCGTGATAACGATAATGATGACAACAATGGGCAAAAAGCACCGTCCGCTAATGATGACGATTATCATAGTTATTAACAAATCTCAGTTATAGTCCTGAAAAAAATCTCAGGGGGTCCTTTGAACCATCCAATTAATCTCGCCAGAAGTCAAAGTTGCCTACACTCATTCTAAGGTTCGTGCGATTTTACGACGAATTTTCAATTCCGGTGTGTTGCACCTGCGACTTTTGATAGAAAAAACCTGCTCGCGTCATAACTTAAAAGAACGTGTCAGCGGAATGAATCAAATCTCTATCACTTTGCATACATTCTTGGGAACAGAAAAAAATTACTTAGAGCAAACATTCTAAGTATAGCGTTCATTCCGTGCAATGGGGCATAAATAAAAGTTCTGGTGGAAAAGACACCTTATTTTATACCACTGATGATAAGCAAAAAGGTTATAAAGTTACCTGGTTAAAAATACATTGATAACTCTATTTAATAGTTCTAATTACTACCAGTTCTAATTTAAAGGAGAAAGTTATGAAAATAAAATAAAAGTTGTCTGTACCACAAAGCATGCCTTCACTGTTTAGACTGATAGTCCTAGAGCTTTTTGAGCATGTATTCGAATATCTTATGACGATAAGCCAGCCACCCACCCCACCCCGCGCTATGCTGTTTTCACTTAGCGGCTGGTCAGCGGTCACGTTTATGAGGTAA